GAGAATGGTTTGGATGTAACTCCAACCAATTGTTTCGTGCTGCAGTCTCAAGGATACGAATTGCATTGATGATTGCCAACCTTCGCAGCGGAGATGGCACGTGAAGAAGAAGAAGAAGTCTGCCATTCGTCGTAACAATGTTTTCCCCGTGTTAACTCCAATGTCCTCAAACTTATAGAAACTGAAGTTTTTAACATGCCTCCAAACAAAGTTGGCCAAATTCTGTTAAACATATAAAACAATCGTATATCCATATTGCAAATAATATAGAACAAAGAATAATTATTATGACATACGCCATAGAAACGAGGGCGGAGACTGCAGCTACTAAACAGATTCTTAGAACGACCGAGATGAAGACATTATACTCGATCACAGGGAAAACGCTAAGAGATAGAATAAGGAGCAATGAAATTAGAAGAATGTGTGACGGATTTAGTGAGATGGACCAGAACTAGAAGAGAGGCAGAAGAGAGCATTGAGAGGTCATGTGAATAGAATGGAAGACGATCGACTGGCGAAAATCGCAAAGGAAGAGAGACCTAATACAAGCAGACCTCCCGGAAGACCACCAAAGCGCTGGTATGAGAGCTGGACCTCGGAATCACAACTTAGGCTGCTCCCTTGAAAACACAAAACATAGTCTTAAAATAAGAAGAAGAAGAAGAAGAAATAATAATTAGAATAGGCGATCATAGCGGTAGTAATACTGATATATTATGTGAAAAATTTCAAGTAATTTGAGTAGGTAATAAAAATAATTTGCAATTTTATTTTAGATTTAAACATAAATACATACATAAATAAATAAATATTGTTTAGTATCTAACCTAACAAAATCCCAAATTATTAAAGTCTAAGCAAAGTACGGACCTATTCGGCCATATTTCATTCTTACCCGGGTCTTTCCTTAATTTGTATCAGTTAGTCACTTTCTTATATCTATGAACAGACTTTAGATTTTAAATCTTAAGCGCAACAAAATAAATAATTTCAGAGCAAAAAAGCATTTTTTAATTTTTTTTATGCTTGCAATAATAGGGGTTAAGAATATATATTAGTATAAATTAGAGATATTCTTATGGAATACACAGGGTTTATCGTTATGATTTAAAAAAAAGCTATCAAGCGAGTCGTATAAACGTAATAATAATAATTTTCCTTATTAAAAAAACTTTTGCGGCTTTGTTTAATATAGACTGAATACTGATTGCAAGCATAGACTTGTTTTTGTAAATACATTTAATTACATTTTACGGAGATTCAATACTCAATATAGTTCTAAGATGCTTATTCTGCTTAACCAAACTTTTAGGAGTTATATTAAAGCAGAAAGTGTACACTAAACATAGGATCCTGAATAACCTATTTTATTAAATACAAGGCGGCAAACTGTAAAATTCATTTTTATGACAAAAAAAAGTGCGCTCCTGTTAGCTGTTAAAAATGCAAATGTTTTATTTGCCGTGTTCCTTTAGTAACTCGCATGGTTTTCAAGATATTAGGGGAGAAGTGAAACCTGTAAATATTGCAAACGACTCTAAATCTGTACTTAAAGTGGCAAAATTTATAGAAACTGCCTATGGCTATTGAAATATTTTGGAAATATTCATTTAGCAGGCATTTTGAGCAAGTGCTTTTGTTTTTGCAATTTTTACTTTTTTATTTTGAATAAATAATTCCTTTAAAGTATTTAGTTTAAATTTTACATATTTACTCAACCAAATTTAAATATTTTTGAAGAGATTGAAAAGAGTTTATTAAAAAAAAAAAACAATGTGTACCCCTGGCTTTAAAAATATAAAGTTAGCTCTTTATCATTTTAATTCGCACATTCGACGCATTTTACACGACCCACGCGCCAGGAACGAGCTGGCTAGCCGTTTAAAAATTTAATAATAAATTTGAGTTTGGCACATTTCCACGTATCGGCGGCCATTACAACGCCGCACGGCTACACAAAGTTTGTTTTTCCAGAGTTTAAATCGGGAAAAATTTTTACGTGGGCAGCCTGATAAAAATTATTTGGGTGACACCAAATAGTAGAGATATGGGGGTTCTGCCTAATGGTGAGAATACAGGACCTTATGAAGTAACTTTCAAACTGCGCATATGTGATATTTAAAATTTGGTTTTTAACCAAAGACCTTGCGGAATTCACAACCAACTTGGCCGCTGGTACATCGTCAATAAGTTTGGAAGTACACTTGAAGTATATATATTATTATGTTATATAATATAATATTATTATTATATATTGTCCCGAAATTGGACGTCAATATGTTAACCACGTATTCTGCCACCCAAAATAAGGGTAAAAGTTCATATAAACTAGGGTCCAAAACTTCTTAGTTTTTAACATACAGGGTCTTAAATTGGAAGAGGTGATGGTGATTTTTATACCCATTTTCATCCTCTCCTTTAGTTGTGCGCCAACACATACAAACTATTCTTCCGTACTCAAAAATGTTGTAATAAAATACTCGGAATCCATATCCGCAACATTGATCAAATATCAAATAACATGTGAATTTTATTAGAGCATATTATGAATATACATATATTATGTTTCAGAGAAACTCGTCTTGATAATTTTTTTGCATCAGCCTTCTATACAGGAAGTTTCTGAAGTACGCGCCGGTTTCTCGTAGCATTTAAAGATGCCAGTTTTTTGTTTCTTATCTTTTTTGGTAAATCGATTCGCGTTGCAGATTAAAAAAGAATATAACGTCGTATATACCAAACCTTCCTTTAGGAATACGTTAAAAGTGCAAATACCGCAAATGACTCTCAGCTCATACTTTTTTCCACAATTGCAACAATTGACTACGGCTATGAAAATGTTTTAAAAATTTTCAGTTGTAAGTTTAGGAGCCATTTTGCGGGTGAGATTTCATTTTGGTAATTTTTGTTTTTTTTTTATGTTAACTCAGTAATTTCTATAAATATTTTGTTTCCTTCGAATGCGGTGCTCTTTTTCCTGGATTTTGAACAAAATAAATATGCAGGAAAAGAACCATAACCACAAATCACCTCCCTTAATAAATAAATTCCCTTGCATATTTAGAACTTTATTTCACCTCTTGAACGCACCGTTAAAGTTTGTAAGCAAATTTATTTTTAACATCCTCTCTGTATTATTCTTATCGAACAAATGTGCTTAATATTTCCGCAATTAACTTTCCGCACGGAACGCGTTACCACCGGTACGAAAATTATTTACACGCTGACGAGCAATTTAGCTACCTTTCCGCGTAAACTATGTCTGCGAACGCGAACATATTTTCATTGTCAGTCGGTGTTTACTCCCTGTTTCAACTGGAAAACTGGCAAATGTTGGCAAAACGTCCCGAAATTGTTGCCAAGTCGAATTAATTTTAGTATAAGCCGAAAATAAGGAAAATAACGTGAACGTTTGATGTTCGCATACGACTACCGTATTAAATTGCAAGTTTGTATTGAGGAGTGGAAGTTGTCAAACGCTTTTGTCACCGCGGACACGAAACACTTACCGTTAGATTTGTTTCCAGACGGAAAAAACGGATAAGCAACAGACAAACCGAACTAAACCAAAATGTTATCTGTCCAAATAACCGTGAACTAACCAGTTTCCCAATATCGAAAAAGAAGAGAGAAAACTAATTTTTTTAATTCGTGATATTCCAATTTATAATTGTCTTCACGAGTCATTTAAAATTATACAGGGTGGCTAGAAATGAATGCAACAGCAATCCTAAATTAAACAATCTTCATAAAAAACACTAATCAATAAAAATTGGTTAGAATTTCACAAATGGTTTCCCCGCGAATCCTTCGTTTGACTTTGATGAACTTTATTTGTGAATTGCAGACTAATCCTTCGACAATAATGCCATGTTTCAAAGTTTCATTCAATATTTGACTTGGATATTTACGATGTGCAACAATGAGCCACCCTGTATCTCAGTGAACGACATCTTTCTAACGCATATTTAATGAGAAAAGTTTGTAAAAGTTTAACTCTCGAAATTATTATAGTTCAACATTTTTTTGGAATATCAACATGAAAACTGGAATTCCGTGGCCTTTGTATATGGGAATTACGATATTACATTTATTTCGATAAAACACATCGTTTTCAAGATATTGCCAATGTAAAATTTTATTCCAATTTAAATCGCTGACTTAAAAACAGTTCATTTAGAATTGGTAGGTTATGGTTTATGGATGAACAACTTATTAATCTATTAATTAATCTAAATAAAAGATTTTAAAATGTGTTTCATTTTTTCAGTCTGTTAGCAAAAAATCAATACAAAAAACATCATCAAAATGAAAGGCCTGTTGTGTGTGTGCCTGTGAATGTGAGTGAGAACAAAACCCACGAATCCAAAAGAACCGAAAGGAAGTAACACTTGCAAGAACTAAACTTTAACACGCTGTATCTCACTAGTGAGTGACATTTTATTTAGACATATTCGGCTCAATATCACTATTTTGACACGAATTTAATGTAGGATTGCATTTTGGCGCGTACATTATTAATCACCATGTATACATTTCGGAACACACTGCTTCTTTCAATCATATACTATTTGCTAAGTCATAGTTCCATCAATTTCGAGATATTCTAGTATTCTGTGAAATGCTTTTTCCAATAGTTTTTTTAGGTCACCTCTAAACATATTTAAATTTAGAACTTTTAAATTAATATGTAGAGAATATACTAGAAATACTGGAAATTCAGACAGTAATGCAACTGCCCAAAAAGTTGTGTAATTCAAAATCAAATAAAGACAATGGCAGATCCATAATTGCTTAGGATTTTTACTGAAGCATTGTTTTCCACCAGCAAGCAAAATATACTGTCTTGGCAATGTCATAATATGCAATTTAATAAAATGTGACGTACGAGGAAAAGGACCCCACATTAATAGAGCATAATAATGAAAAAACTTGATAAATTTAAAAGAGAAATTTGATTTTCGATAAAAAAAAGTGCGAAAGCCAATTTTACTTACTGGACGTAGCATCTTGATCGAGCGTCACCTCTTGCAGCTGGCTCGGGCTGGTGCTGCAAAAAACAAAAACTTTTAGAACAATCAACTAATCAACTGATTTTTGTTGTTGTCAATGTGTGGCATGTTTATTTTCTCTTTCTCCTTAAACCCAAAATTATAATAAACGATCTTTTCGTTAGACGCCGAAAGCCGTTTTTGTCGAAAGTCGACAGGACGGATTTTAAGTAAATCCGATAAATATAAGACAAGGAATTAAAGGATCACAAAAGTACAAATCAGTTCGTCACTTTGTTAATTTGTTGAAACACAAAAACCTTTTAAAGTTCTGGTTTTAGTAAGAAATGTATGTACCAGAAACAGTAAGAGATCTATAAATATTAAAAAAGGACGCCCCATTCTATAAATAATTGAAGCTAGGCACAACTGCCTTTGGGAAAGCCGCTAATTAAGGAGGTAGTAATACTTCTTCCTCGAGGTTCAACAATTTATCACCGTGACTGTGTCTACTTGTGACAACGTTCTCTCTATAACCTCGTTTACATCATACAGACATAGTTTGAAATACCTGGTCCTTTTATTTCAAGCTAGACAGGCGCACTTCTTCTTCCATTTTATGTAAATGAAAACATTAAGTATACTAATTCCATTATAATCAAATCTAGGGACCTGGGTGACCAATTCCATCCATCAGGCTCCCTTAACTCCATGGGCATGAAATGGATGATGTAAAAATCAAATGCTAACACTACAAAGGGCTTAGGTTGACATTTGATAGAAAAAATACAGTAACAAGAAAACCGCTGAAAGCAAGCAAATCATACAAGGTGATTTAAAAATCAAGACCGGAAGGTAAAAGATGGTCTCGTAATGATGGGCGTATAAATTGCGGTCCAGAACGCACCTGCGGTCGTCTGCTGCCAAATCGAATCCATTTTCGCTATTTTTAAAATTTCCGTAGAAGCCGGGGCCCAACTGGCGAGGACCTTGTCAACTGGGGGTTATTAACGACGCCCACATACAAATCAGACCAATTAACAACAGTTCAACAAACTTGTACACTCTCTACACTTCACGGGCACGAATTCGCAAGTTCGAACCATGGCTCATTCGTTCATTAAACATAAAAACTACTGAACAACTTTGTTTGTGGTGGAGGATGAAGAATATTTAGATCAACCTAACTTCCGAGATCTCGGAAAAAAAATATCGTTTTAAAATGTAAAAGAAACCACGAAGAAATCGTACGTCTGTAAATATTTCTTGATCGATTTGATTAAATCACCAAATTAGTCAAATTCATAACTAGGCCATACCTTTGTTTCAAACACAAAAGCGCTTTTCGATTATTAGAAAAGGATTTCCTTGCATGTCAGCTTATAATAACAACCACAAGTTGTCAGCGTAAACCTTTCTTTTTTCTTTTGAACTACTCACGCGTCATTTGTTGTAAAGACTTTTTATCTACAAAAAGGCTAAATAAATCTATCTATCTATCTATCTAGTTATCAAAATGAGGGACTTTTTAGCAACCACTAGTGCAGAAAAAAAAGCCGGCAGTCGAGTCAGTGTGCTTGATCCTTGCTTGGTGGTTAGTGCGGTTTGGGTTATTCTATTGCCTCATGTGTTTTTCAGGAAATAGTGGTAACATAAGTATTCCTTATTTAGTTTTGAAAATGTATTTTAGTATTTTTATTATTTTATTAACCAGTCTAGAAATATCTACAGGATATCCAAATAGTGTGGTCTATACTGAGTGGACATTTATAGACATTTTGTGGTCAAAAATGTCCTGTGACTAATACCCTATATTTATACACGGTGAGTCAAAACGAAAAATATTAATTTTCGTGAAAAAATCAAATGTATATTATACTTCCATTAATTACTACTGTTGATTGCCTTTCAATTTTATTGAGCATTCCCTATACCTAAACTTAGTATTTTTTCAGCTATACACATTTTTACGAACGAAATACTGAAAAATTTCAAACCCTGCGGAAATATAATGTAAGATGGAGAACAAAATAAATATTACCTGAACGTAAAACGTCTACAGGGACGAATTAAGTGTACTTTTTTCAAATAGTATGCGTTGCATGTTAATACAAAACGTAATACGAAAATAATTTAGTTATAATTAAACATCAAAAATAAATTAATATAATTAAACAATTTGAAAGGTTTCCCTTGTCCCCAGTTTCATGTTCTAAAAACTAACTGGTCATCTAATCTTACCACCTCTTCATATGCGCCGTTGAGGAAATAAATTATTAAACTAGTTCGTAACTGGACTAGTTCTTAACATATTTTGCAAGCTGTGCTCTAAAAAGACTAAGTAAACTTGACCACTTACTGTATTTACCACCCCATATAACACCCCAAACGTTTATGTACCATTTTTCCTGACTATGAAACAATTATCTTGTGTCTGTTCACAAGATGTTGATCTAATTTGATAATCATTTTCATTGAGTTCTTGACGAAGTTGTACATGATAAGGAAGCATCTTATTTTTTTGAAGCAAAATATTATTTACAAAACTCTTGGGACATTTGTTTTGTTTGACACAAGCATTTTATTTAGAAGTCTTCTGGATTCATCCTGCGTCGGCTGTTGATTAATTGAACTTGCTAACGTGTCGCCAATCATCGTGTTGGCTTCTTTAGAACTTAACTAAAACATTATAAAAAACCCAAGCAGGAAGAATCCAGAAGATGTGTAAATAGCATTACACTAGCCTGTGAAAGTTTTTTTGAAAAATAAATTGGATACTAAGTATTATTTAAAATAAATTTTCCTCGGTCACTACAATCTGGACTCTTTCGTCTTTTCATAAGTTGGAGTAAAAAGATTCATCAAATTTTTGTAAAATCATGTCGACCAATTAATTCTTTGATCGAAAATTCATGCTTGAGTTGCAAGTTAAGTAACTAACAACCAACTAATTGAGGAAACTAAAACAAACTCGACAGGTTTCAAATAATTATTTATTTGCATGGAAAACTTGTATTTGTGGTGCAAACTTAGATTTGCATGGCCGATTTTCATTTGCACTAAAAGATGCGATCTGAAAACATTATATATAGTTCAATAATATTTTGGGCTTAATAGAAAGAAAGGAAACAATTTTTTTCGAAAAATTAAAAACTTACTAATTATTTTTTATTTTTCTCATACCTTCAAAAATAGTAGGAGTAATTAATGGAAGTATAATATACAGGGTGTTCACTTTGATACTAATTATCGGGAAACGTTAAATTCGATTCGATCAAAACTATTATATAATTTTGGTTTAACTTTTCAAATAAGACAGGGCAGAATTGGCAGAAAAATCCATGCGTACAATTAATATAATAAATACTTCAGTTGCATCTCAAAAAAATGAAAATCTGGAAATCATTTACCGATAAAATTTACTGTTCCAATTCCTAACGACGCAGAAAATCAAGAGTTCAACTTAATAACATAATATAATACAGTGACTGGATATTATTAACAATGATTTCACATGGGCGTAAGAAACATGTGCCTGGCAGTACGATTTAAATAAGAAAACATGTTACATTAATATTCCGTAATATATCTGCAATGAAAATATGCCATTTTCTAAACAAAACCACAGCGTTGACAAAAAAAAATCTTAACTTATAATGACAAAAGACTGTATTTATTAGACTTTATTGTTGTTTCGAATATTTGAAATAAGTTGTTACAATTAAAATGTTATATGGACATATTTATTTGATTATCGGTGAGAATAACATGATTCACTTTGTTTCAAAAAAGACTTATCATGCACATGTTAATTAGCATAGATTTATTAAAAAGCACTAATGAAGCACAGAAACATTTTGTATTTTGACTGAATCGTTAGTGAATTTTTTTAATTTAACAATGTACAAGAAAAGTTAATTTTCCAAAGAAACTTCCACAGGTTACTGTAATACTTTTTATAAAACTTCTCGAATCCTCCTGCGTCGGTTTTTGTTGACTTGAACTAGCTAACGTTTCGCCAATCATCCTGTTGGCTTCTTGACTGAAACTGGCTCGCATTTTACTCTGTACCTGCCTGCTCTTATATTGTTTGAGGGGGGCGGAGCTAAATGAGGGGCATAAACACACTGTCTCGGATGACTTATTCCCATATTGGTGACAGGTAGAGACCTCAGTCGGGGCTAAAATTGATAGGTTGCTTATAGATTTCTATAGGCTCTCGGATTTTTCGTTGGTTGAATAATTGATTACATGCAAGAATTTTAGTTTCATCGAACAAAATTGTATGACCTTTTTAGTGATTGTGTTCGGCAACTGCTGATGAGTTCATTTAGTGGTAAATCGGGTTTTGACCTTATATTCCTTTAGAACTATCGATATGTGGTCAGTGATGTTTTGAATATAAGGAAGGATAACAGTGGCAAGTGTGGGATTGCTTTCGGTCTCGTTGCTATTGGAAGGTTGTGGTGAAGTGTATTTTTTGTGATAGAACGTTTAATATCTTTAATGTGGAAATTATTAGAGAGAAGCTCTGAAGAAGCCAACAGGATGATTGGTGAAACGCCACCTAGTTCGAGTAAAAAAAAAACCGATGCAGGAGGAATCTAGAAGTTTTATAAAAAGTGCAAGAAAAGTATTAGACAGTTCGTAATTTGCAAGAAACTGCAAATGTGATCTTTAACGTATGTTAACACAACTTATTGAACCACCCGTTTTAGCCCAAGCAGTAAAATGAAATGTGAAAAGAGGCAAACCATAATTATCCAGAAACGTTGTCATAAAAACGCATTTTGATACTATGACTATTATGGAAGTGCTTTTCAGTTTTGGAACTTGGAATATTACCTACATATTATGCCACATAATGATACAAGTTTTTGAAGACTAAAGTGTTATCACGAGCTTGTTTAAGCACAAGTGATTAGTAAACGACTAACAAGTTTAAGCCGTACGCCCAATGATCTCAGTATTTTAAAGTAGGGAGTAGAAAAAATACATTTATTAGCAACAATATTAAGATTGTATAATTGTGTATTACGACCTAACATTAATTCTGAAA